GATTTCCCGGGACATTCTCATAGACGTCTCGGGAGGACAAGGGTTTAAAGTAGGGTGACTATAAGCGACACAGAAATTTTTAAATATTTTTAAAAAATTCAAAATTTTATTGCGATTTCCGACCCCCCCTAATTAATTAATTATATATTTATAAAAATATATTAATTAAAAAAATTAAAAAACCATCGGAGGTCGTTTTTGACATCAGAAACTAACTTTAAATAACTTTACTGAATGAAAATCCGTGCGCTACAACTTAAAAACCATGAAATAATTTTGATAAAAAACTCCCATTAAAAAACAATTAAGCCTTAATCGAGCCTTCACATAGGCTCATTAAAATCGCGATAAAATTTTTTTGCGTGGGAAAAAAATTTTGAAAAAATTTCGGGACCTAAAAAACATTCCAAAAATTCAAAAAAAAAAAAAATTTTTTCAAAAATGGCCTTAAGGACCTCATTTTATGTAACGTTATGTAACTTGCCCGAGATATCTCGGGATATGTCTTTAAGGGGTTAAGCCCTCTTCAGTGCTATACTAAAAAATTGAGAACAATCAGTAATATAACAATATAATCGTGTGTAGATTATATCTTCTGACATAAAAAACTATTTTATCATACCAAATTAACGAACACAAAGCAGCAATAAGGTTAAAATATAATAATTTTCCTTGGTTTAATCATATAAAAAATAGTAACTGTCAGATTGATAGAAACAATGTTAAAATCCTTCATTCTGAAAAAAACATTTATAAATGTAAATTTAAAGAACACATTGAAATTATAAAATCTACTAGTAAAAATTTCATCAACATCTCTAACGTATGCAAATAGATCAGTAATGCTACATTCTAATAGAGGGTGTTACAAAAAAAATTCCCTATAATGTATGAGTCATACACCATAATGTAAAGTACGATGTATTGTGAGTTGAGAAAAAATATTAATGTTGGTATGTATTCTTTGTAAATTTTTTAAAGAAAAGGTTATATTTTTGTAAATAATTTTAGAATATTACTATAATTACAGTTAACCTACTGCTGTTTGAGATTAAAAATGTATCTTTGGGAATTTTTAGTGATTGTTTAGAATTTTTAATGTAATATGATATATGCCCACTTTAAAGGTACAGTATTTAAAAAAGAAAAACTTCCTTTTATTATAAAAATATTTATATATTAAATTTTTATGGTTTATTTATGATTATTGAATGAGGATTGATGAATAGTGTTAAAAAAACCCAGAAGTGTCATATTAGTGTGGCAGAAGGATTTGTAAAAAAAAATCACGGAAACCTTTTTTTTGATGTGATAAAATAGTTTTTTGTCAGAAGATATAATCTACAAACATTATATTGTTATATTACTGACTGTTTTCAATTTTTTACTATAGCACTGAAGAGGGGCTTAAAGATAAAATAAGCCCAAAATGCATATGTAACCTGTATCTTCAATAAAGGATGTTCCGACCTAAAGGCTGTAAGATAGTCTACTGGAATTCTTGTAATTTTCAGATTAAAGAGACATATATATGTATGAATGCATAAACAGCTACCATAACAGATAGTTAAATAACTATAAAATCAATTTAAAAGATAACAACATTTCCAATTGAAATCTGTATACCTGAGAGTTAAATGTAAATTATTTTATAACTTAATATAAAATATTTTAATATAAAAAATTACAAAACTTAAAAACTGAGTTGTTATGTTTAACAAAATCAAAGCATATTTCTTGTTCCAAAAGTTTTAATTACAAAAGTTATTTGTTTATAAAATAATAATAGTTATAAATACCTTTAATTGCTCAGGATCCTTGTAAGGAGCCTCAGGAGCAAATACTCTGAATACATCAGCAATTGAACATGCAATAATCAACCTGACATCTTTCCTTGGATGTTCTAAAAAAAAATCTGATCCTAAATATAATGCCAATGGAATATATATACTATTGTCATCATCTTGACTCATATTTTGAAAAGCTTGAGCACAATCCTAAAAAAAATAAAATAATAATAATATGAATAGATAATATATTAAACAAGCAATTATTTTAAAATAAAATACGTCACTTTTTAGTACAGAGTAATTCTGATTTACAAGTGTACCTCATCCCTGAAAATCTCTAATCCATTAAATAAAAATTTTCAAACACCGGATTAATATAAAAATAATACCTCATCAAACCTTTAACTGGTATTAAATTTGATTAAGATTAGATGCAAACGTTTTCGGATCCTTTCTTGGGTCCTTTCTCAAGCACAGATTCTTCGTTAAAATTCGTTAAAAAGACCAGTAGAACGAACTTCATTTGAATGCGACGTTCGAAAAAAAATAAATCCTTCAGAACTACATTTCAAAAGTCAAACAAACGTGAATCACGTGCATTCCAGTATTCCATAAACAACATTCGTTACGTAATGCCCGGTATTCTTAAAACGGTTTTAATGGATGTGTTACATTAACGAAAAATAAAAATAAAAGATCATATCCGTGGGAATGATGTTTTAATATCCAATTTACTATAAGTATTTATGTACGTGTATCTTCCTTCTGGAGTAGGGCCTGCCATGCTAGGGACAGGGTAATTTCATCCCTCGAGTTAATAGGTGCCGAAGTGTAGTATGCTTTGCAAATTTCCATTTGTTCCAACCACTTGAGGTGGTCTATAAAGGATGTGGTAATGAGGAGTTTGACGTTGTCGAAGTTTACCGAAATCTCTGGGTCAGACGCATATATTGATAACGATGTAGAACCTCTGTTGTGGAGGATGTCCCGTTGGTGTTCAGCCCATCGGACACCAATAGCACGTTTAGTGGCGCCAATGTAGACCAGTTCCCTTTCAAATCTATGGTCCGTTAGGGGGATAGCGTATACCCTTGGTAGTTTATCCTCGTTAGGTTCATCTTTTTCATTGCGCAGAAGCTTAAACATAGACATCTCTAATCCATTATTTCTTATAGTCAAAATTTGTACTTCATTCCAGCACTCTATCCATTTTCACTAAATAATATTAAAAATCTACAAAACACCTATTTACCTACCAACCAATGATTCTAAATAGAATAAAACAAAATTGATGATAAAGTATTCACTGATACAAAAGGAAATAATATGAAATCAGAAAAGTGAATATGATATAAGCCAATACATAGTTTCAGAAATTTTTTTTATTTAATGGTAAAAAAAAATTAGGGCAATAAGTAAACAAAAAAGAAATAGAGTAAAATAAACAATTTTTTAAACTGGTATATTATCCACACAAAAAAACAGTACAGTCAAACTTAGTTATTGAATTAGTTAACAGTAGTAAGCTAAATTAATATGTGATAATGGTTTCTATAAATAATCTTAATATGTTAACAAATTATAAAACAGAGTGAGTCAGTAAAACAATATGGGGCCCATTTTTAAAGTAAGTACCATTTATGCATAGCATCAGCTTAAATCATTCACAAGAACTGTTTCAAAATCAAAAATACAGAAAATTCTTATTAGTTCAAAATAATCACAACTTTGAATTATCAAGTTTCAAATTATTCAAGATTTACATATATTTGTACACTATGCCAACTGCCACATAATTGATGTAACTTATTAAGCAAATGGAATATGGTTATGTACACAAAATGCTATTTTTTTAATACAGTAGAACCTCGATTATCCGGACTAATTGGGGATGAAGGCAGTCCGGATAACGAAAAATCCGGATAATCGTAACAAATACTTTAATTTGTCTTTTAATGATAATACAATACGTTTTCTTTTCGATGACATATCGGTAATATTAAAAGTAAATACTGTATTTAAATCGTGATCAAATATTTAAGAAACAAACGTTCGTATTGAATTTGGACTACTACTGACCAACGCTAACAGACTACCTATTGTTTAAAAGGCCCTCTGGTAGCGCAAGAAGATGGATTTTATAAAATAAAAAGCAGTCGAAACTGCATTTTTATGAATAAAAATTTGACAAACTATTTATCGTTTTATGACGACTAAAATTTTTTCGTCGCGTTCGCGGCTTTTAAGTAATGC